ATCAAAATATATGAGTATATATTTATATACAATAAAATATGAATTTATGTTTATATACAATAAAATTATATAAGGGGTTTTATTTCAGAGCAGACAGTAAGAAACTTTAAATATTTAGTTGTGATGGTGGCAGATGATATGCATTCCTTTAGTAGGTTTGAGTTTAATTAATTTTGTCACAGTTTGACCTTTTTACCATCATCTCCACTTCATTTATCAGTTTTAACACATTTTCTCACATGTTTCCTCATGACTCAATGTTCCTCTGTTCTGAAACAAATTTAGTTTTTAGTGATTGAAGCTTATCTGCTGCTGAAAAGTCACTTGATATGATGAAAAGCTTCAGGGCAGCTGCTGGTCAAATCAGCTGCTTTTAAAGTTTAAAACATAACTTTAGAGATTTTGATTTCTTGTCTTTTTTAATCTGTACTTAGTAAATCAAAAGTTGTAAGTAAATAAACTGTTTGGTTCCATTAAAATTTAAATATTCACCAAAACCCAACATGGAAACAGAAAAATKACTTTTTCTGTAAAGATAAAACTGAGCTGGAAAAGCTAAAAAAATAAATAAAAAAAAACAAGCTTAAAGCTAAATGTAGCAAATGCTAACTATAAGCTAAATGTAATAAAAGGCTAAAATAATGAAATAGTAGCTAAAAGCACATGAGGCCCCAGGTGTAAAATGAAAAGTTAAAAAATTTCAGTAACATATTTTTTATTGTTTATCTCACTTTTTGAGTGTTAAATATTTTCCACTAACGTTTTGTTGTTGTTTAGCTCACTGTTCTTACATCTAGATAATTTCTACTAAATGTAAATTTAAATGTTAAAAAATATATTAATTCCTAAATCTAAATATTTAAATCTAAATGTAAAAGTTAAACATTAAATGTTGAAGTTACATTTAGGTATTTAGGAATGGAACGCAGCTTTCGCTGTTGGTGCTCGGCTCATGTTATGATGTCATCATTCTGAGACAATAGCAGCTGCTAGCTCTCCAGTGCAGCTGTTTTTTATGAACACTCTTTAAATTTAGATTTAAAATATCTTCAGCAGCGTTAGCAGCAGCATTAGCAGCAGGGTTAGCGGTGGCGTTAGCAGCAGCGTTAGCTGCAGCATTAGCAGCAGCGGCAGCCATTGTTGATGTAGCAACTGCTAGCACTCCAATGCAGCTGATTTTATGAACACATTTGAATTTAGATTTAAATTATCTTCCGCAGCGTTATAAGCAGCCGCGTTAGCAGTGGCTAACAGCGGCAGCCATTGTTGATGTTTGTCGCAGGATGATGACATCATCCTAGTTATCTGATGCTAACTTCTGCTAAACACTGCTGAAAATATGGTTAACTGCTAGCAGTTGCTATTACATTTAGACTTAAACATTTAGGTTTAGGATTTAATATTTAAATATATTTTTAACATTTAAATTTTACATTTAGTAGAAATTACCTAGATGTAAGAACAGTGAGCTAAATAACAACAAAATGTTAGTGAAAATATTTAACACTCAGAAAGTGAGATAAATAATGATACGTGTTAGTAAAACCAAAAGTTACCACATGAGGAGCAGCGGTTTAGTGTTTGTGAACAAATTAAAGATGTGTTTCTGTGAGAACTTATCTGTAAATATAGTTWAATATAATAAAAAGTCCTGAACGAGCCGAACGTTTTGATGTAAGAACAGCTAAAATCGTGCAGCTCAAACTGTGTCTGAACGCTGACTCAGCGTTCAGATTAGCTGAAGCTCTTGTTTGTTTGGTCTGAATGTAACAAACGTTCAGGGATCCACTCTGCGTCTCTCCTCATATCCAGGTCAGCCTCAGCCTTTCAGCCCGTAGCCTGCAGAGACCCATTCTTCCACCTCACTGGGTCGTTTCCCGCCCTCCGTCCTCCATCCGTCTCTGCGCCGCAGCCGCTCCTCTGGGAGGAAAGATGGCCGCCTGTCACGCTGAAGGCTGTCAGTTAAACGCTGCAGACTGTTTGGTGTCTTTATTCTCTTTCTTTTGATCCATCGGGGCTTTATTTTATTACTTTTTTTTATTTCTTCCTGTCAAAGCATCAGATCCAGTCCACTGCTCTAAACGTCTCCATGTGGACAGGAAGTTTACATCCAATAGAGTTTCATTAAAATTAGGTATTCTGCTGACATGACAGCAGGATTTCAAACTCTTTAATCTCATTGTTTCCTCTTTAACTTTAAAGGCTGTTTTTGAGCAGAATGGCCCTTTCTTTAACTTCCAGCTGAGCGGAGCTGCAGGCTGAATTCTTTGGAGACGAGTCGGGACAGGATCCAAACTTCAAATGCAGCATTGTGCGTGTGGTCTCTGCAGAGCCATTAGTGGAGCATCTTCACGCAGCATTTCATCTGTTTACATCATATGTGCAAACACGCTGAGTTGTAAGCGATACTGACATTTGRTTTATTCCGGATTTAATGAAACCTCTCCGGCTGCTCGGAAAAGAAAGATTTTAATCGTGGTTTTCACGGTGATTCAGCTCAYGGAGCTCACAGGGTTCCCAACAGCTGATGGTTTCTGTTGTTTTACTGAAGCTCAAAGTCGTGAAAAAGAAGAAATGTTGACGCTTATCTGCAGGAACGTTTCCCGTCGCGCCTTTTTACATGCTAAAATTAACCCATAATTAGTAATTATCAGAGAGAAGTGTCGACACRTCTGTGTAATTATCAGGACAACAACGTCTGCTTTTCATGGGCGAGCTGCCACGTCAAACTGAAGGGTCACAGGCCAAATCTGGCCCTTGTTAACTTTTTATCCGGCCCTAAATAAATTTATGGTTCATCTTTTTCTTCTCATAACAGCTGGCCAACTTTCAAACCAAGAACATTAATTTTGAACTTTCAGTAATCTTTAAATTAGGTGTAAGGACAGAGAATCCATTTTAATTATCTTCTTATTTTAAAGTCAAATAACTGTTGAGGAGATGATTTTGATCCCTTTAATGTCCTTTAGCCACAGCTAATGGCTAAAGGCTAATGCTAAGACATGCCATGACTTTGGCACATATAGTTTATATCATTTTACCCATGCCAAACTGTTACTTTTTGCATTTTAATTAAAAAAACAATAACAAACAAACAAATAGCTAAAACAGAGTTCAACAGATGGTGACAAAGTGGCTAAAGGTCTATTTTTAAATGGGTTCAGTTGTTTAGGACAGGGCTATTCAAATTAATTGCTCCAGTGGACCAAAGTTCCTGCAGGTCAACAGCTGAGGGGCCGAACATCCAGTAATTAAAGTCTTTATGTAAATAAACCAAATTTTACAAAGATCTGTTACCTTTGAAGGAGTTTATTTTGCTGCATTTAATCATGATTACAACATACAGAACSCTRTAAARGTAGTGATAATAAAACAATATCAAAAACAAAAATCACACATTCTGACTCCTGTTTGACACAAATGTATTTTAAAACAATTTTATTTTTACTTTCATAGTTTTATCTTCAACTGCTTGTAATTTTAACTGTCTTGGATGTTCATAGAAATGTTTTTACCAGCTTGTTGCCAAGATTCTTATGTTTCTGTAGAAACCAAACATGTCTATGTTTAATCAGTGGTGGGCAGCGCTAATCCAAACAATTTTCTCCGCAATTTCTAAAGCACTTATGTAAATATTTAGGTCCGCAACTTCTAAAATGCTTATGCTATAGAAAAACTAGCAGAAGTTAATTTTAAAGCCCAAGTTCAATTTGACAGTAGCTGGCAATAATTCATGTACATACATATGTACAAACATTTGTACAACACTGCCAACTAGCGGTGTATGGATGCTTTTACAACTTAATCCTATAACCGCCGATTGCTGGAGATGTGAGTTCCTGAAACAGACCTTTAGCTCCTGGTGTAAAAATTAAAAAGTTGTTGAGGATTGCTAGTTCGTCTTTTTCTTTTGTTTGTTGTAGATTTTTCATTAAAGAAGCATCAATAAAGTAATTTTAAAACTGTTTATTGGAAAACTGAAGTGATGCATTCTGGGTACATGACGGATTTGATTTGTGACAGAAAACGAAAGCACGCAGTACAGGAAACTATCTTCCCTTCAAAATAAGAGCTTGGRTTTTAAAGTTTTCCATGTAGTTGCCCCAGTTGACCACTAGATGTCAGTCTTCATCAGAACAACATCTTTAAATCATTTCTGCTTCTCTAAACCGGTTGCTTCGACCAATTATGTCAAATATGGAGCTCCAGCGTTTAAACTTTACTTTTTTAAAAAAAGGAGCTCTGATTGTAAAGTAAAATAAATCAATACATACCAAATTTTAGTATGGATTACAAACGTAAACTGTTTTTAGTATTGTCTTCCTGCTACGTAAGCAGACACAAAGCATTGTGGGAAATCAGAACCGTGACCCAAAGCAACAGTCAGCAGGATGTATACCTTCACAATAAGAGTGTTTATCTGGGAGGGGTGCTGTTGGATAGTGATTCATTGACAGTCATACCTTCTGCTGTTCAACATAATGATGACTGGTAGATAATTAGTTATTAGAGGTACTGCATTTTGATTTTAGAAGGTGCAAATCTGCTTATGAATTATAAAAATTAGTAAGACCGCTAAAGTGCAAATAAAATATTCAGGTTCGCAATTAGCGGATTTGCGCTTTAGCGGGCTGGTGCCCACCACTGTGTTTAACTAATTAAAGAAGAAAACCAGGGTTTGGGTTTAAGAGATCAATGAACCAATTAGCGGCCGAACTTTGGTCACTCACGGACCGGATGTGGCCCGCGGGCCGCCAGTTGAATAGCCCTGATTTAGGACCCTTTTGTGATTTTATTTTACACAAACAAAAATAAATAAATAATTCCTGTGGAAGCGGTCAGACACCTGCAGAATTATCGATCAAACGCACTTTAAAGAAACAAACTGATTTTCTAGAACTTAGTTCTGATGTTCTGCTTTAAATCGATCCGCCGCGAGTGAATGACGCGCGTGCGCAGCACCGAAAGCGCGTGCTGCGGGAGCGCTCCAAAGCCCGGGAAACGGAGCGTTAACTTCGCCTCGTGCCGTCAGTCAGAGCAGTCTGTGGAGATAACGGAGCGGACAGGGCAGCTAACGGGTTCGGGCTCGGACCGGTTGTGCCTCCGCCGCGGCCATCACGTCACCCCGCTCCGGCTCCTCGGGAGACGGCGAGGCTCGGGGGGGTGGAGTTACGGATGGGGAGGGGGTAGAGAGACCTCCAGGAGGAGGAGAGAGACTCGGAGCAGGGGGAGGTGAAGCAGCGCGAGCTACGGCTAACTAGCCATGTTACTGTCCCCGCTGCTGCTGCTGTGTGACTGCTAGCGGGCCGCCCTGGACTCCCTAACCGCCCTCAGGTGCATCATGCCCGGCTGGAAGAAGAACATTCCGGCCTGTCTCCAGCCGGACCAGGAAGGAGGTAAGCCCAGACCCGGACCGGAACGTGCAGGTTCCTACAGACCCACCAGTGAGCGTCTGTCTGTGTGAGTGCGCGCGTGTGTGTGGATGAGCGCGTGTTCGTTAATTATCAGCGGTGAAATCTCTCGAGCTGCGCGGAGACGATTGACTGTTTTTAAATTAATGAAAGTTGATACCGTGTGTGTGTGTGTGTGTGTGTGTGTGTGTGTGTGTGTGTGTGCGCGCGCGTCGCGCTGGTTGAGGCTGCAGTGACGTTACAGTGATTCTGTTTGATTTTTTTACGGTGTGTTCGAGGTTACGGTCTTCACGGTGACCGGTCAACCGATCAGGAGCTGCTAACGACCAGGTTAACCGGCGGTTCTGTCCCGCTGCCTGCCCGTGCACCGAGCTGTTTCGCCGGGCTGCGGGTGGTCAGCAGCTCCGGTGTTTCGGTTAAATCCGCGACCCCTCAGATTGAGGCTCATATCCGCTTCTTTATAACAACCATCATAAACTAAACACCCAGCTTCTCCTCAGGCTGCAGTAACATAATGTTTTTAGGTATAAAGTTATTTTATTTTTGTTTTTAATGAGTAACTAAATGTTTCAGCTCATAACCACAACTAACAGCTAAACAGATAATGTCTAACAGCTTTTAAACACTTGTATTTTTCTATCAATTTAACAGGTATTTAGTWTTTTCACTATAAGTTTCTTCAAACTAAAGACATTTATATTTTCAGTCAGAACTTATTAAACGTTGAAATTTTTCCAAGAAGCTGAAACTGAGTTGTTCAAGTTAAAACAAGCAGAATAAAAGCTAAAAAGAGTAAAAAGGTAGCTAAAAGTTAAGATAAAACTGTAGAGAAAAAACAAAAAAATCAGCTGTAGCTAAGACCTAAAAGTAGCTAAAGTGTTGATTCAAAACTAAGATTGTCTAAACTGTGTAGCTAAAAGCTAAAATTAGCTAAAGTGTAGAGAAAAGCTATAATTAGCATAATTAATTAGAGCTCAAAATAGCTAAATTGTAAATTTAAAACTAAAATTGTCTAAACAATAGCTAGCTAAATTGTAGCTTAAAGCTAAATTTTAGCTTAAAGCAAAAATTAACAAAACTAGAGAAAGGCTATAATTAGCTCAACTGAAGTTAGGTCCTAAAAGTAGTTAAATTGTAGATTTAAGACTAAAATTGTCTAAATTGTAGCTAAAGGCTAAAATTGGCTTATATCTATAAGCTTAAATTAGCTAAATTGTAGAGGAAAGCTATAATTAGAGTATGTAATTAGAGCTAAATAGCTCATTTGTAAATTAAAAAAATAAAAATGTCGAAACAGTAGCTTAAAGCTATGATTAGCTAAATTGTAGCTTCAAGCAAAAAATTAACAAAATCATAGAGAAAAGCCATAATTAGCTCAACTGAATTTAAGTCCTAAAAGTAGCTAAATTGTAGATTTAAGACTAAAATGGTCTATAATTGACTTGTAGCTATTAGCTAAAATTAGCAGAATTGTGAGAAAAGCTATAATTAGCTTAACTGTTTTTATGAGTTTAAAGTAACAAACTTGTACGATTAAAACTAAAATTGTCTAAATTGTAGCTTAAAGCAAAAATTAACAAAACCTTAGAGAAAAGCTATAATTAGCTCAACTGTATCTAAGTCCTAAAAGTAGCTAAATTGTAGATTTAAAACTAAAATTGTCCAAATTGTAGCTAATAGCTAAAATTAGCTAAATTGTAGGGGAAAGCTATATTTGGCATAATTAATTAGAGCTCAAAATAGCTCATTTGTAAATTAAAAAATAAAATTGTCTAACAGTAGCTTAAAGCTATCATTAGCTAAATTGTAGCTTAAAGCTAAAAATTAACAAAACCGTAGAGAAAAGCTATAATTAGCTCAACTGAAGTTGAGTCCTAAAAGTAGCTAAATTGTAGATTTAAGACTAAAATTGTCTAAACCGTAGCTAAAGGCTAAAATTGACTTGCAGGTATGAGCTAAAATCAGCAAAATTGTAGAGAAAAGCTATAATTAGCTTAACTGTTTTTATGAGTTTAAAGTAACAAACTTGTACGATTAAAACTAAAATTGTCTAAAGTGTTGCTAAAAGCTAAAATGATCCAAACTGAGCTCCAGTCTAATTTMTACCAGAACCATAGACCAAAGCTAAAACAGCTCAGCTGAAGGGTTAAAGGTAGCTAAACTGTGGTCAACAGGAGTAAATGTTTGTATTAGCAATAGTTTAGTGATATGATATACATCAGGTGTCACAGTATGATATACGGTGACATGTTTTGATTCTGTAAGTGAGGCAAATTATCACCATTTATGTCTTTAAAATATTCTAATTTTAATGTAAAGAACATAAAATCTGATTAAATTCAGTTTATTTTTATGCAATCAGAGAAACACTGAACCACAGTGAGAAC